TAATATGATAAACTGGTCTAAAGAGTGGCTGGTGCCTATCAACTCGGAAAAGTGTGTCTACATGCACTTGGGGGATTCCAAGGGTAGTACGTACAACATAGGGGATGTTTCATTACCCGTGGTCCGGTCTCATAAGGACCTAGGGGTGACAGTGAGCAATGATCTTAAGACGACGGCCCATTGCCGGGAGGTCACAGTTAAGGGGTTTCGAACCCTCCGGGCTTTAAAAAGGACATTCACTAAGTTTGATACTACCATGTTCACCACATTATACACATCTTTAGTGAGAACCAAGTTAGAGAACTGTGTTCAGGCTGCAAGCCCCTGTTTAAAAGGCGACTCAGACATACTAGAAAAAGTACAGAGGGCAGCTACGCGTGCAATTCCGGAACTCCGGGGTTTATCATATAAAGAGCGGCTTGAAAAACTGAACCTCTTTACTCTGTCCTATCGCAGACTACGAGGAGATCTAATATTGATGTACAGAATACTGAGAAATGATTTCGGACCTAACTTATTCTCTCTCTTTCTTCCCACTAGATCGGAACACCTCAGAGGACATAGCAGGCGAGTAGAAAAGCCAAGAACGAACAAAATACCCGTGGCATACAGGTTTTCACACCGAGTCATCGATACTTGGAACCTGCTGCCTGAAGCAGTGGTGTCCGCACCTTCAATTGACTCTTTCAAGAGAAGACTGGATACTCACAGAAGCATACTAGAAAAGGAATAACATAGGCCGTAGGCCTTCTGTCCTTACTACACAAATCTGAACCTGAATCTGAATATCACGGCAATATTCGTACCACTGAACGGCTGAAATTTCCGTAACATCTTCAAAAGCCGCAGCTAATGTTACTGGAGACTTTATGATCTAATTTCCAAAAATTATCATGATTTGTCTTAGTCTGAGTCGTGATCGAGCAAAGAAGGTGCCAGTTCAAGCAGATTTTTTCCTCCAACATATAGGACAACGAAATACAATGTCATCATGGTAGTCTGCACATCGTGCTGCAGTCATTTGATTTCCGCAGTCACAGATACAGGAACTTCTTAATAGTCCCATCTGTTGTAGTCGCTCAACAATCACCTCTTCTCTAAAATCTGCTGTAAAACGATCGTATGTGAGCATCACGTATTGAACTTAGCGCCGTTACCTTGAAATTCTGATTGGCTCGTCCATAAATTATAGTCTCGCCAAATTGCCCAATTCTCCTACTTTGGCGAAAATTTGGGAAAATCTCTCAAGACCAAAAGCCAGAAAAATGCTCTGAAAACGCTGAGAAGCATGTTATCCAATCAGCAGTTAATAGAAGTATTGCCAGAAATATTTAGAAAGTGAAGTCACATGTCGCATTTCTGGCTGGATGACTACCTATACTGCTACTATGCTTGGTGGCGTCCCAGAAATTTCCAGAATCGCAAAACCATCTAAAATACTATAAATATCCCAGACTTTCTGTACATAAACGAACCTTGAAAAAAAGCGTTTCTTCAATATTTTGCGTCTTTTTTCTCGTGTTCAATTCGCCGTGTAGATTTAGCATAGAGACTTTTAGAAGAGCTTTGGAACAGAATCTAACGTTCAATTAGAAGACCTATCAATTGAGTAGATCTTTACTTCGGAAATAACCGAATATGAAAATTTAAAAAATAAATAAACTCATCCAAAATATCTTACATAAAGACATGGTAGTATTTGTATGAAATATTGTTTTGCATATATGTTATAACTTGTGGCCTGTGTCCTGTTAATGTATAACGTAATGATACCGCCAATTAGAAAGTAGTGAATTATCGATCGGTCCAATGACTTGTAAATCCCGTACGAGCAGTCTAGATCACTTATCGGTCCTGCTTCCTGCCTAGTCCAGTCAGTTAAGTCCAGAACACAAATCTCAGCCTCTGCGAAATGAATCATACGGGGTTTATATACGAATCAAACAGACTACATCGAACCATAAAATAGAAAACAACAAGATTTAGCCAAATGTGGCTGTGCATGTAGGAGGTAGTAATTAATAGACAGGGCATAATTCAAGAATGATAAGTCGTATAATAATAGTTCATAAGTCAAAATAAAGCTCGTAATTAGAGGAACATTAGTGTGAGTAGTTTAGTTATTTAACAATTATACGATAAAAATAACCCCATAGTATCGATCCATAAATGGATCCCAAAGTTACCATTCATTATGCTTATCGGACATAACAATATACCTGACTGGGGAATTCTAAATTCAGTACAATACATCCAATTTTGTGCACTGTTCTCTGTCTTTAGTTGTCACTACTACAGTACATACTACTTAGGTTTGGAAACTTACTGTTTCGCAGATTATATTCGATAATTTTACTACTCAGAAAGATCCTGCACATATCTACTGGACTATCCTTGTAATAGTCCATATTTTAGATAGGATATTGTAAAGTTTGTGACATATTACTGTCGTGTTTGTACTAATTGATAAATTCTTTTGTACATGATCCAGCGGCTGATATGAATTTCAAATGCATTACCTTCGACTGTGCTCACATATTTCTCTCTGATTTGAGTACTGATCCTTACGTGGCCACTAGAGTATGAATTAAACAATTCTGTCTAATACAAGTTAGCATACATAAGTTGATCACTTCTGATTATCACAGTTATTTCATTTGAATATTAAATAGCTGCGTTTCTCGCGGGGGGAGGGGCGGGATCGTGGATGCACACTTCCGTCTAGCGCTTCCAGGTTTTCCATGGTGATCTAGCTTCAATCGACTCATGATCTCAACTTTTTTCATAACACGCATTTATTTCTAATAAGTGACTACTTAAGAAAAACTCTCCCTAAAATTCAACCGATTTATTAAACATATTTCCGATTACAGTAAATACTCCCAGCAATTATTATTTCAATACTTCGCACATTTTTAGATATCACTAAACTAGAACAGAGATTTTAGCAATGAGATGGACTTAATTTATTCAAGTGTTTTTTTCATCCGAATGTATGATTTCAAAATAACCAAGTTGTTCAGCCCCCCAAATGCCTTGGTATGATCGAGGGTCGGGAGAGTCCACACTCATTCTCGAAATGCTCTCACGTGGCCACAAGTATATAGCCACTGCCAGGGAAGTTCTACTAACTGCCTTCTCGCGAAGAGGTGTTTTTCACGAGACTGAAGGGACGAAAATTGAATATCCGGCTCTTAAACCGGGTTGTTGGACACATAGGGTTAATCTAGGGGAGTTGAAAAACCCCGACTCCAAAACAATGGTGAACGCGGGCTCCAGGATCCTGAAGTAACAAGTGACGTATGAACTAATTATTTGTCAAAGACTACCATGGGACTGCATTTCCCAAAACTGCTCCATTGCCTTGCGGATCAGACCTTTAGGTCGAAGGCTTCGGGTGTGGCCGCCTAAGAAAACCAACTGCTTCGGTTTGGGCACTCGGGCAGTATAGCAGCCCACACATAAATCAAGCGACTTGTGTGGCGCATCTGTATCGGATGCATCTTTGTACCAATATTTATGAGCCCAAATAAATAAATAAAACCAAATTGTTTGAGTAGACTCCCCTATGAGGTAGAGGATTAATACCCCATATATAACTTGGGCTATTTCACCCTCTAATTTGTAAAATCATCGTAAAAAAAGCCGCTTGGAAAACCTGTGATCAACAGTCAATGACCTTTTATAGATTGCTAAAATCTTAGTTTGACTGGGTAGGTACCTTTTAAACCTTCTACAACTGCAGTCACTATTCACTAAATGATGTAGCTTGACAAAAGTCAACAAATCTTCGGGAATTTATTCATCAACTAGCTTCCTATGATGCTCCTGCTTATTAATTTATACGAATGCATAAATTGCCTTAGACTACTACCTGTCGTTCGACAGGTTAAAAACAATCAATCAATACCCTTCAAATTTCGGCGAGACTATAATTTATGGTCGACAAGTCACAAATTTTGGCGCGAAATTCACCCATACATTTGGCTAAATAGAATTTTGGCATTAAAGCTTACGTCAGTTCGTGATGAAAACCTCAAATCTAATTTTGAACCCTAACCATCAACTGTAAATGAGAATTGTAACTGCTTTACAACCCTCATTTAGTCTTAATCAATAGGTGTCCAGTCTCAACATCACTTCAGCGTCGATCAATGGTCGTCCATAAATTATAGTTTCACCCAAATTTCCTCTTAATTTCTTTAGATCTTAATTAAACTGTAAAATCACATAATCAAAAACTGTAAGTTGGTCAACAAGAAACGAAAGATCAAAGAAGGTTGGTATGATGGGGATAAAATATGAAAAGTATTGATTAACTTGTAACGTCCATTTTTATCTTACCTTAGTCATTTAGCTGATAGATTATGCTACTTTAGTTGGATAAATTATACACAAATGAATTTTAATTCACTAATACAATAACATAGTCAGTTAGTTTATTTTTTCAATTGAGAATTAAATGATCGATTCTATGGGGAAAACATCACTTTAATCACAATACCGTTAAATCAGTCATAACTGAAATCACGTAAATTTTTATAACATGAATGTATAAGACAATACCATGATACAAGAGAGTATCCAATTTGTATTTTACATTATGGACTGATTTTAAAACGCAAGGAACAGACTGATAATCCCTAGTTGAATCGCTGGATAAGGGGGTCTATGGATACTCATGGCTAAAGATTTCCACTACAGGATGAAATGGCTATTCAATGTTTTTTTTTATTTTCAAAGGTTGTCTAGCAAAACTGTTTGTGATATAATCAACAAATTCATGCCAGCGTTCACTTCATTACTGACACAATTAAACACAATCATATTTTATAACTGCAAGTTGATGGTGACATTGTAACAGAATAACATAGAGAAAACACAAACAAATTGATTTGAAGGAGAAGAAGATATTTATTTACATTTCCAGGAAATTACTGCTCTCAAAAGAGAACATCTAATTCACAGGTTCAGAATTTATGAGTACTAATTGTTTTTTTTTAGCGTAAACCATAATACCACCAGTGTGGTGGTTCATTTCCTCTACGCCATATTGAATCAACACGTAAATCGACATCCACTTCTTTAGTGTCATCTTTTTGATTATCCACTATTCTTTCACCTTCGTTTATTTCGACACTTTTCAATGTGATTTCATCAGTAACCTGTTCATTCTGTTTTTGTTTTTGTCTTTCTAAATATTTCATCATTGCAATACGAGCTCTATGTGCCATTAAATAAGATCTTGGATGTATTGGTAAAAATCCACATAATCCTAATAATTCAGCTACACGAACAGTTGGTTCAGCTCCCATACCAATCCAGTAGGAGATACGTTCAAAATTTAATGCAATCAATTGTTCTCCATGAATATTAGGTAATGGATCCCATGAACCGACTTGTTCAATACCATTCTTTTTCGATTCAGCTAAGTTAGATTTAATCTGTAATATGGACAAAATGAATAATAAAATGAAGAAATAGTAAAGGAAATTAGTGTCACTCGTAAAATAAACACAATTCCTGGTTTAAATATACACTGGTCTAGATTTTTATATCGTTTCAAAGCAGTGAAAAAAAGTTATTAACAAGGCACATGTTAATACAGTCAAAATCGTAGTATTGTTCACGTTGGTTTAAAGAAAAACTCGATGTGAAGATTATTGCTTGGAAAGAAGGGAATAGTTCGTAGAACAAAAGATGTGAATATTGAGGAACAAAATTCAAACGACTTCTCTCTCTAGTTAGCGGGGCTGGGACGCATCAAAATAGCTAGCTTATTGGTCTTTGGTCACAGAGTCTTTGTTCCGTTCGCAGACTAGGTGAATACTTAATTGCTTTAAACACAGCAAAATAAACAGGTAAGGTGTTACATTGCAATGTTAAACAATGTCTCTAACCACTGACTACATGTGAATGTGAGGAGTCCAATCAAGTAGTTTGCGTCCATTAACAAACTAATAGTCAATATCTTTATGAACTGATGCTATTTTTTAAGTTTGACTCCTTCAATTTCTTAAACCTACTCCTACCCCAGGCTAGCATTGCGCGTCAAGATAGGTGGTAGTTAGGTATGCGTAACACACATCTTAATCACCACATTAGAAGAATGTTCTTTCATACCTAGACTGATTATATTTGAGGATTTGGGATTTTCAATACTATTCCTATGTGTTTATTTTACACTGATGACATTGTGGACTAGTATTATGATCTGATTTAGACAAACAAAACTATTTACTGACATTCATATGTTTTAATCGACAAAAATTATGATGAAGACATTTTGACCAAATAAAATGCACAATCGTATATACGAATAGTGTCCATCTTGTTGTGTTAATGAGGTATGGCAACTTGGACCGATTCATATATGTGCCTGGTCCTACGTTGTAGCTGAGTGACTGACTGAATAGTGAACTTTTAAACTAGGCACTTGATTTTTGACATGAATATTGATAGGTATATAGTGCTAAGCAATTGTTTAAAGGAAACTACTCGGTAATTCTTAGCGGAACTAATAAATTCTAAATTGCTATGGCAGAGATATATCTGTTGATATAATAATGATGTTTCATTGGGTTAGATAGTTAAAATAGGTTACATATGTCTTCAAACCCTAATGTTTTTGATTACTGCTTATACTCTTACTACCTCTACCACTACGGGATTTGAATCGACAACTGCATCTCTGTGCTAATGTAGTATGGCAACTCGAAACGATCTACCTACGTACGAAGTTCTACGTTGCTACTGACTGATTGACATATATCAGTACGCCAGATAGTTCAAAACATGGTAGATGTAGGCTGATTAGACTAAGATAACACTAATCTGAGTAGCAATTCACATGATTGTTAAGAATATTTTTTTTATGAAAAAGGATACAAATCAGAGATGTGTTCATTTAGTCTTTCCTTTAATGAATGTTATCAAATGATTTATGAGTCTAGAAACTCGACTAAATGAATCCATACATAACAAAATAACGTTTATTCACTTACCTGTATGGTAAAGAAAGGTCTGTTGGAACATCCTTCTCTGACTAGTGCAATACGAAGTTTATTTCGAAAACGAACAGGATATAATTTTACTACACGACGTCCAGGAATTAACGGTTGATGAGGCCACCATGTACTAGGCTTTTCTGGTCCAGGTACAAATGTCATATCATTTAAAGATGTAGGCTGAGTTGATTCACAAACAAAAGGTTGTATATTACCAAAAGGTGAATAGGAATTTTGGTATTTTACGCGACCCAAGTTCAAGTTACGAAGTAAAGGAAATCTAAGGATGTATTTTTTTAAAAGATGTCACATTTAAAAGTAAACCAACATAATGGTACAGTCATAGTCAAATTAAATGAAAATAAGTTTATGCGTTTTTCAAAGAGACAATATTACAAAAACCTTAACTAAGACCCAATACCACCAACATAGTATATTAGTGACATTTTAAGACAAAGAAACTAATTTGCTTGGATCTCATGATGGTCAAACTATTTTATGACGAATACAGGCTAAGAAAATACTTCTAAAACTTGTAAAGGTTTAAACAATCCATAGACGTAATGATAACAAAAGAACATCTGATATATTACAATCCTGAGATGGTAGAAAAGATCTGTAGCTTAGGTGGATGATTTTGGTGGATTTTTGTTCTCTGAGCTGGATGGTTTGGTTGTGGAGCTTTCATCATTCTTCTGAACGACATCATTAGCACAAACTTCAGGTTTGTTATAAATTCAATACAAACATTTGGTCATCAGCAGCTTACATTTAGATATGGACAATAGTTAAAGAGATTAAGCAAATTTACTTGCATAACAATAGGAATGATTAAATAAATAAATTTCTCAAGTACAATTGTACGTAATTTGAGTTTTGGTCACACGTTTTTATGAGACCTAGTAATATTATCTGGTTAATTTTACTAGCTAGGACCCCGCTTTGTTTTAGTCAAATGAACTATCAAGCACTGGTCTAGGGAATAAAACACAACTCCCAACTACTATGTCTGGCTCGAGTTCCGATTCATCTAGTTCCGTCTAGATAATCAGGTAGCATAATTAAGAATCACACAAAACTTTTAGCTCAATGCTGTGTACATTAATTCGAACTAACTTACCACATGTCATCACATTAAAAGTTTAAATCAATCAGTAGGAACCGTTTGGACGTGATTATTTCTTTCTCTATAAAGAAATCTATGATTGTCTAGCCGTGTTAACCTATAATGTGTATAATTTATTTAGACAATATATTGATAGAGGAATAGTTTAAAATTTGTATAGGAATAGAAAAGCTTGAAACATTACTTTTATGTCAGTTAGTCAGCTACAACGTAGGACCAGGCACACATATACATCGGTCCAAGTTGCCATACATTATTAGCACAACAAGATGAACACCAAATCCATAGTAGTTAATTCAATCGTGGTAATATATAAAAGAAAGATTGCATATAAGGATATAGTACACGAAGAAAGAATTAGTTTATAGAAAGTAAGATATGAAGCGATTTTAATCTCAGTTTAAAGGAAGATAGAGAGTGTATACACTTATGCCATTGTGATCGATTCTGAGTCATGTCACACACAGTCTCCAACCATTGGTTACGATATTCACGCGGACCCCAACCAAGTAGTCTGCATCTACCAACATGGCTAAGACTAGAATTTAGTGACTTTAAGCACTGATGCCACGTTTTGGTGTGGCCACCCACAATTTTTTTCCAACCATCCTCAACACTAGTCAGGATTGCGCGTCCTGATAATCGGTGTTCAGGCATGCGTAACACGTGACCCAACCATCCCAGTCGATAAAGATTCATAACCCCATCAAGTGACTTACCATCATTTCTTTTTATGAGTTCCAAAACAAGTGAACAGTTTTAATTTATCAGACAACTTATTATGGCTAGTTTATAATCACCCAAAGTTTTTAAAAAAGCAACTATAATAAGATTTAGTCATTATGTATATAATTAAAGCGATGAGATAATATACATTGATGTATAAAAAGCAGTATGAGTTTCTACAAAATTATAGAAATAACATTCCGTTGAGTCGTAAAAATGGTTTAAAACCTGAGTTCGAGAGTTGTTATTACTTGACCACAATAATTTAAGTTGGACGAATTGACTTGCTATACATAATGTAATTGTATAATATTTGAATAATAATAATTATTATAGAAGCCTTGTTTCTTAAATAATAGTAAATTCCCCATAGTAAATTCCCCATAGCTGAAATGGTGTGAATTCCTCTTCTATTATTTACGTTTTATAGTATCAATCTAACAGTAAATTACTGTGGAGACATACTTGTATAATGCATAATGCATTATTGTGAATTGGTCAAATCTGACTGAACTTTAAAAAGCGATCCAATGGAAAAATATCCTGAAAGGAATAATAATGAATAGGGAATCGATGAAGTAATTATTATTATAATCTTATTACTATTATGGTTTTTAAAAGACTGTTGATAACTTGTTAATCTAATTCTTACTTGCCAAGAATATATATGCACTCCACACTAAAAATGAGTTTGTGAGGTGAGAATAGAAGATGTGTATAACAGAAAAAAGGACAAAAATGAACAGAAATTAGTGTACTAGAGTGAAATAATAATAACATTAATGACAAAAGCAATTCATTTGGGGAAAATACAACCAGGAAGAATTTTTTCAGTTAAAAAAGTTAGTTATTATTATTTATTTGAACACAGATATTGGTACAAGGGGGCACCAGATACATATGCACCACACAAATCATACGGGGTTTGTATGAGGGCTAAAATACTACCCGAGTGCCCAAACCGAAGCAGTTGGTTTTCTTAGGCGGCCACACCCGAAGCCTTCGACCTAAAGGTCTGATCCATAAGGCAGTGGAGCAGTTTTGGGAGATGCAGTCCCATGGTAGCCGGTGACCAATAATTGGTTCATACGTCAACTGTTCTCTCGGGATACTGGAGTCCATGTGCACCATTGGTTTGGAATCAGGGTTTTTCAACTCCCCTAGGTGAACTCTCCGTGTCCATCAACCCGGTTAAAGCGCCGGACACTCACTCTTATGAAGTAAAAGAAAGTTACAGCAGGATCGTCACTGGCTTCTATATCGAACTATTTCTGATAGTCTTAAGCCAATGTGTTGCACCATCTCCAGGACCCTAACCAGGGAGTCGTGAATGACCAACGGAAGCCAGCTCTGTACATCTTTCTTTCATAGCACATCATGTCGTGAACTGAACAACTCTCCACATTTTTTCAATCAGTCCCAGAGTCGGCAAATAACGCATGACGTGGGATTCGCTGAGATGGCATTCGCAGGATATGTCCAAGCCACCGAAGTCGGTATTTAAAGGTGGTGACACCAGCCGAAATATCGTTGCTGTGTGGAAACACACGGTGCCGAATCTATGAATTACTAATGTGGGGTTCCCACTGGATGTCAGCAATTATTCGGAGACACGGAGTCGTATAATATCCTCGACTCGGAGAGGCCAGGTTTTACGGGCATAGAGTAAAACTGCACTCACAGATGCGTTGTAGATCCGACCTTTTACAACCAGACTAACATCATAAAGGTGCCAAAGATGGACTCATTGGTATAAACCGCTATGGTTTTCACTATATGTGAAATGATCTCATCACTCACGCCACCACCATTATACACAGCTACCCAGAACGTTTTGACTATGTCTGCTCACTACCCAGGGTGAGTATAGGTCCAGGGTCCTGCCAGTTTTATAAGAGTAATTTGCACTTGGAAGGTGCAAAGCACATGTCATATCTACGGATACTGATTGTCAATTGATTAAGTGCAGATTGCATGGTTTTGGTATCACCGCACAGTACGACAATATCATCTACATACTCAATGTCGAAAAGTCTTTCTACAAGCAAAATATTCACACCACAATTAATTATATCCATCAGAGCTGCTTTCGGAACGTTATCAATGGCATGGTTGAGATAGGAATGGTGAAATCGGGCAACTTTGTCTAACCTCATTGCAGGCATGAAACAAAGAAGAGAGATGGTTATATGACCTCACTCTGTCTGAGATGTTTGTATATAGGACCTGGTGATTTGTGGCGTTTCAAGAGTTAGAGTTCCTTGTGGACTTCTGACTTGTTAGGTGGATCAGTTGTCACGAACCATGGAGGGCAGGATAATTTGATCGATGTCGCCGGGGTAGCATACCAGTTGAACTGCTCCTTGAAAAACTCTTCCCTTCGTCTACAACGTCGGTGGATGTTATTGACTGATATCCTGTCAGTTTTGCAAATTATTTGAGTCACACCAGAATTGTTCCTGACAGTGACGCGGATGAGTTTAAATGGCTTCCGGCAGTTACCAAAAGCAGCAGCTGCTTCAAACTTGTTAGCACGCTCCGACCACCAGGCTTTTCGGTCCTTAAGCAAGCTTCGCACAATTTCGCTAAGCCGAAACCTTCGTTCATGGTCAAAATTGTGGTCATCTGGAGAAAACCGGCGTGCTTTAGTGAGTTGTAAGAAGCCTGTAGAAACCTAGTGCCTGTTAACGGGACTCTGTAAAGTCACAAGCGACTTTACTCGCCATTTTCATGACGCCATAAAATTTCAGCCAATGCACATATACTTTTCGGTAGATTGATAGCTAGCCTTGAACCTAGCTAGGCTTTATATTTCATTGCAGCAGAAGCTGCAACCAATTTGCTGACATTGGCCCATTTAGGGCAGAGAATTTGTCAGACAGAGTGACTGACTGAAGAATTTATTGGCTACTGAAACGTAAGGTAGGGTCAACGCAAACAAGGGTATGATCAGAGTCCAGATAAGTACTCCAAAAGGAGCAGCAATCTTGTACACAGCCACGCTAGCAGTAGTTGGTCGTGATATGATCAATTTAAGTCCAGGTTTTATATGCGGAAAGAGGACGCTAGGTAGCACATCGGCGATGACTGCGCCAAAAGTTAGCACTAGCCAGAAACAGGTTTTAACCCGAGCAATTAGCAGTAGACAGTTACCGTTATCTGGTCTGCAACCAACAGGTCCTCATCGGTCACCTAAAAGACTTTTTCCCCAGACACCTGTCGAACGGACTGCACGTAAAAGGGAACTTAACTGGTGACAAGAATCACCCGCGATCGCACGCAGGCTAAAATCTGTCGCAGCGTAGGGGATGACGAATGGAGATCGTCTCTCATACCGATTTCTCAGTGATTCAGTTTTCTAGTCTAACAACACATAACCGACTGTTAGTGGGAATCCAATCGACTAGTTGTCTCAACTCTAACGTTTACTGCAACAATATAGCCAACTAAACCATACGATGCCACACGCACGCGAAACAAGCTTTTTGAAGTGCCATATGGGAAGCGAATTTGTATTGCTTTACTTGAGTCTTGAATACTAGTCTCGGATAGGCAAAAGACATCGATGTTGAGACTTTCTAAAAACAGCGAACCCTATCGGTTGGCCGATCTGCATTAGTGAGCGAACGTTGAAGCCGGTCAGTTTGAATGGTATATGTGGTTTTGGAAAGGCTAGTTCAGTTTTCATAATCGGTGGTAGCATCCAACTTTCAACCAGTCAGTGACTTGAGATCGTTTAGATAGGAAAGGGTTTCCGCCATAGACAAGCTGCTGTATAAGTTGAAAAATAAAATACGCAAAATGAGAATAAAAGGGAGTACACAAGTGACGCAGTATAAAAGAAACAAAAACGAATGTTATCATATGATTTCGAATATGATTTGTCAGAATGCAAACCGAAGCGAGAATAATTTTTCCAGTTGTAATCATCATTTGATTTGTGTTTAAGCTGGGATACTGCCCGCGAGCCCAAACTGAAAAGAGGCCACTCACCGAATCTTTGACCTAGAGGTTTAATCCACAAGGTAGTGGCGCAACGTTGGGAAATGCGGCACCATGGTAGCCGACCAACAATAGGTTCGTACGCCATTTGTCCTCCCAGGACGCTGGAGGTCACGTGCTCCATTGGTTTTGAACCAGAGTTTTTCAAATCTCCTAGGTGGATCCTCCGACTAGTGTATATATACCTTGACTATTAGTGGCTCATAAATTTTATGAATAGTTTGTCAAAGATTTCTACAATGGAAACTACTTACTAATAATTGAAATATTAAGAACACTACCTACGTAACATTGCGAGGACATTTTGTTAAGTTAAGAACTAGATCTATTTATGAATATTGGCAGTGGCTTCTAGTCCCAACAATGTCTAATGATGTTTCAAACAACTAGATTGGTACAACTTCACTTATGGAATAATAGAAAAACAATGAACACTAACACAGTATAACTACCCTTAATTCGATGGTGTCATAAACCACTAGGTGTTAGGTAGTTAAAAGTAATTGTCAAAAAGTCCTGGACATAAGTTTCGTGCTAGTCGGAGCTCATCAGCAATGAGTACCTTTAGTCTTGAGAGAACTAAATCTTCCTGGTTGATTCGAACATTGGCCACTCATTGTTATCATTTAATTTATCGTGACATTCTTTTTGATGTCTCTGTTGTGTAATTATTTAGTTTTATATCAGTCAGATGAAATTACAATAAACTGTGTATGGAGTAATGAAGGGAATATTTTACCTATTGAATATGTATGGGTTTTAATAAAAAATTTGTGGAGAAAATCATTTATATACAAAGTAAACATTTGTAGTCACGTTGCATAGTAGCTAAATACTTATCGATTGACTCCCCGCTAGACGTTGTTGGTAGACAGTTTCTTATATGGTGTAGAGTTTAGTAACAAGTATTTCGTTCACAAAACATTGTCAGAGACCATAAGACTATCTTGTTTACTGACATGAGAGGTTGTGTAGCATTATTAGCCTATACATGACTTGTAGCTCACTGCAAAATGTTGTACATGTTTGAGGTTTACTTATTATAACAGCTGATATAAGGCTGTATACACTACTCTATTTTATAAATACTGAGTTAAATATTTCTGAAATAAACGTTACTAAGGCAAGAACAGCAACTGGCTAATAAAGTCGTTTAAGGTCATCAGCATAATACACTTTTATCCAAACTTGAGGGGTTCTAAAGATGACAATGAGGAAGTGATTGGCTTTTCCAAAGAAAACCTATGGACTTCTTCAGCTGACTTGGTTCTTGATATGTGAATCGAAGGGATTATCTACACTAGCACCAATCTGTACGGATACAAGCGTTCCCTCGTTGAAAAAAACCTAACTCATCCTAATTACTAACCCTGTTTTGACCTTTTATAGGTTCGTGAATCATGGAAACAGTTTACGAAAAATTCACTTTCTTAATTTTCTCCAATCAATTATAAATTCGTATTAATTATGTTTTGGTTGGCTGGCGATTGATTGAAATCTCACAAAATTACAACTAGGATCGCTCAAGGTTGTTAATAAAGTATTATCAACATTTGGGCCAAGTGGCCAATATATATCAAGTTTAAATTTTGAAAGCTAAACTGCACCGCAAGCTGAACGTTAGACTCATGAATGTCGGTTAGACAGTGCCTGAAAGAGATATATAGACTAATGTTAGTGTCACCCAATCTCCCGATTTTGGGGAAGCTGCGAAGGAAAATTTTTGGGAAAAGCGACAGCATAACCCAAAACCTACCCTGGTATGAGATTAACCCTAGGGGAAATACCCAAAAATTTAGGGTTTTTCCATTTGTTTACCCGAAATTCTCCAGCATTTCCCTGAATTCAGGGAGATTGGGCGTCCAAACACCTTTCATCCCAACGATGACAAACATCACGTTACTAGCCATACAGTACATACTTCTAATGTTTGAAATGATAAAGGCTGATAGGAAGTTTTGTTTCACTTGGTCTTTTGTTTATTATCAATCATATTGACATGATTAATTATCACGAGGTCCTCTGAAAGAGCATTTAACTGATTTACATAGATTACGGGCACACAGTTATTTCTGAAACATCCATAAAATTACATTTTGTTACCTGGGATTGGGTCTAGTATACCGATAGCCAGAGTTTGTGTGGGACAAATGACCTAGAGAGTAGCGTTAAATGTTAAACAGGTCACCAGCTAGCGACGTTGTAAAAGCCCAAATGGTTCCTAAGTATGTTTAACGATAAATGAGAAAAAGTATTAGGAAATTATAGTGAGACATCTCACAGTATGTACTGTCCTTAGTCCTTAAAAATATGTCAAGTTTTCTCCTAAAGGACTCCTTAGAATTCGCTTAGACTAACTCATCCGACAGCGAATTCGGGAATTTGACTACGCGTAAAGGGTGTGTAGTTTTTTGTGGCGGCCCGTTATTTAAACGTCATTTGGATCGAACGATGTTGTCGAAAGGGCTCTCCACTTGAGTAGCCCGAGATCTGACTCCATGGAGATCGTAGTGATGATTGTTGTTGAAATATATATGTCGCTTATCCTCATAAATAATCATTGACTTTAATCGTGTTAGTCAATAACGGATTTAGATAAGTCAAATAACGAGAATGGACTTTTGAATACATATATTTTGTATATGAAGCGAATGGAATAGAGAGAAGAGAAACGGCGTGAAGTGAAGATAGCGGGTAAGCCAACTCGCGTTTAACCAAGCGTTAATCAATATTTATAGTTACACAAAAGTAAGTTACAGACATGTGATGAGTAATGGGATAAGAAAGGTACACACACCTACGCGCTCATATAAAAACAGTCAAGTTTGATAAGCGAATAATTAACAAGGTCAGCATGTGACTCAAGTTGAATGAATAGAATGGGTTTTCCGAAAGCTAGAATAAGGTATGTGAGCTTAACATAATAACCGACACTGCAAGTTACCTAGTTTTATCAAGAGAACGCGATTGGTTAAATGGAAACAATTATTATTATAACCAATAGTACCAGTTATTGTTTTACTGTACTTGTTTGTTTGACTGTACAAAAGACATTCTTTCTTCCGTTGTTTGTGACCTTGCACACACTTACGTCTGCTCAGTGATTCTGCTTGTACTGCTTTGGCGCGATCTCGGTATTCTTGCGATAACACGAGATCGCCAACAAATATACCTCGCTACAGCCTGCAATCGCCTTCTGATACCTGGTACGCAACTTTCTTGTAGTGGTGATCACAGTCAACCACGATCGACTCGACGCTACGCTACAGGTGAACGACAGACCTTCAGTAACTTCCGCTATGTAATATTGCCAATTTCTGGGTGTTAACCCTAAAGTTTGTGTTTGGGTTGGTCTCAAGTGGATATTTAATGGGTTGCACATGAGTGTTTAGGATACCATATCATCAGAAGGCCACCTGTGAAACGCCTGTACTTGAATTTGTAAAGGTTCAGTAATTTGATGTGCCTTTCATTAGACCTGGATTCGAGTCTCCGGAGTGAATCCACGGCTTGTCTCTGAATATATCCCAGTGGACTATTATCTTTTCAAAAGGAGGGAGGAAACACTATATTTCGATACTGCAAGTGAGGCCGAATAAAACTACTGAAGATATATTGTATGATGTTATCCTGCATTTTATGTCAGCCAGTCCTACCGTTGGCATATCTCACAAAGAGCTGGAGGGGTCTTCACATGGAGAGTCAGGTAGCATCAATGATATTCGTGGATAAGACGCTTAAAGTTCAGAAGATGAAATTTTGACAGCATTAGCATTTGCAATGAGTGAGTCCTTATGAATTTCGGTCGATTGTAACTTTTGGGAAGCATTCATGTGATGGAAACCCTTGTAGTACGTAAGATTGCATTTAGTGAGAAATCACAGTAAACATCCCCATAATATTCACGGTAGACTTATCTGTATATTTTTTATCAATGATACTTTGAAGCTGACAATTGCACAAGTCGGAAATTCCAATGCACTAGCTAAAGTTGACTTTAAGTTTGGATTTGTAGATGAAACTGGGGCCTGTGAAGGCGTGATCACTTTCTAGCACAAACACAGGTTTAAAAACTTGTCAGTTAGGAATTATTAATTCATGAAGATGTATTTGCAGTCTGCAACATTATGTTCGTTAAACTTGAATGGTACTACTGATTCGTCTTACTCGGGACAGAACGAAGAATCAGGCAATCAGAGACTCGATAGGCTATACTGGTCCGTTGTTCACGACTCAGCTAACTCGATCCAGAAGTCTTGGTAAGATGAAGAAAGTGTATTCTACAGGCAACTAGAAGATACCAGGTCAATCAAGCACACAAATCACGAGTATTTATACAAAATATATATATACGATATTGCCATGGAAGTTTTTAACCACTTATTCGATAGGTTCGTCAATCGACTATGTGCGTAGGTGGTAAGAAATGCCCAAGCATACATCTGCATACAAGCTCCACAAAGATAAAATTATAAAATATGAGTTTTTGGGATCTAGCGTCCCCAACAAATATGTCTCAGACTGACTACTTTACACTTTGGAGTGTTAAAGGTATGTCCGTTATTGTCCGCCAAACGCTGAAGTCCAGTTAGATCACCCTAGCTGCAAACTTCTCTCCTGAGTTTGACTCTATCAGCGGAAAGTAATAAACCAGACAATAATTTCTGGGGAAGGTCGTTTACATAAATCAAGAAAAGAAGAGGTCCTAGTATTGGACCCTGAAGGACCCTATCAGGACACTCCGCAGCCTGAGAAAAAGTGAATTTTTTCCTGACCTTAAAAAGTCGATTATTTAGACATAAAGTAAGCCGATCAATTAATAGTGACTTGAAACCTAATCTTTTGTGCTTACTGATAAGACATATATGATTGACTCCATCAAAAACATTTGAGAAGTCAAAGTATATGTATCAACCTTCCCCTTACGACGAAGGATGGTTGTCCATCTGTCCACCACAGTCAGCAGACTGGTTATACAAGAATGTTTCTTCCTGAAACCGTACTGCTGGGATGGAAATAAATGTATAGGTAATGACTATCTATGCAGACCGTCACTTTTAGATTCCTCAAGACCGATAAACTATTGAGTGTATAATTGACGTTCAACCAAGCTGGTGTGTAGGTACAGTGAAGCAGATTGAACAGTTTGTTCTAATTCATTTTGATGTTTAGTCCTTGCATCATGTAGCCTGTCCGAATGCATGTGTATTTTAGTTAGTAATCTGCGTCTGTTGACACAGAATGCTTTGAGAATGGCAACCGCCATTAGGAAGGGTGGATCTTCTAACCCTGTTGACAGGGGTTCAGTAGCCTATGGAGATTTTGGTGACCGTGGCTGAACTCAGGGAGTCTGTGCTAGGAAACACAAGCTTCCTAAGATTGTCCAATACTATCGATGCTATAGCGGTTCTGAGTTAGGGTTGCCGACATTTTTCGTAGACTTGATGATGTCGCTCAGCAAATCCTGAGCATCTATTTTGTGTGTGTCACATACCCACCAGTGACCTAATTCGTTAAGTCTGTTGTTGGCAGTTACTGTAAAGTGTTTGCACGTTCCGTTAAACCAACCTACTTATTTGTCACATTGCATACCAAAGGTGACTGCAAAACTGCATCCAGGTAGCTCACATGTGTTCCTCATGACTATGATGAAATGCAAGTTGCTAAATAGAACCTAGCAAAAGCTTTTGACCTTGAAAAGGCGCTGAAAACAGACAAAGCGGTGGCACAAAATGTTTGGATATACTAAAACTACTCTGAACCTGGAAAAGCGTGAAAACTGGATAGTTAGCTGACGCAATAACACAGTTCACTAAGAACTCGACTAAAGCTCAAGAAGAAAAGCCACTTACCAAACATTAAGCTTAGGACAGATCCCTTGGATCAAAAATGGCAATTTTGTTGACTGAAGACTTAGCAAAATTTCGAGAAATGCTAACTTCATTGCGACTAAACTTTCCATTCGTAAAGCCAATATCATTTTCACGACCCGATATAAACTGATTGGTTTTCTTTAGCTCGCCTCATGTTTCGGTACGGCTCAAGGTATTCGGTAATAACGAATGGGTGATAGTCTAGCATCTTGACTGCACCAATTCTAGTCAGTCTGACAGTCGTTTGTGGATTTGTATATCGTGTCGTCTGGGTGAGTGTATTTTTCTTAACTCACTAGTGTTTCTGTGTATGAACAGCTATCATGTTACCAGCCAGGAGGTTGGTTGGCTGCATTTTGAAAATAAGGTATTTTAAGTGATAAGAGGGGACAGTCGTCTCAAGAATTATTAATTAATTTGCCCAATAGATGATGTATAAGAAGACAAAGTGGAAAGAATAAGAGGGGAAACAGGGATGAAGTAGTTACTGATAAGCTGTAACGATAACATGGTAACCTACGAGAAATCCATTAAACATAGCGGGTCCGAACGAGAGATGATAATCTGTGGGTGAATACGTGTTTGTTGAGTCTCTCCCAAAAGTTATCCACTGGTGGGGCTGTGGTCATTTCGGCTGAGCGAGCATTCAGTATGGAGACAACTCTCGGTGAGAGTACCTGGGTGTTAGCATTTTTGCGTGTGATTTTCCGAGGGCTTCTTCGAGGTGAGTGGTGGTGAAGTCTTGGTGGATTGGCGTATCTATTATGTTGTATGACCTTACAAGATCACCTCTTACTGTTGTTTAGCTCAACGAGAATAAATCCAGGTGTTGGAGTCTGTCCTGGTCAGATTTGTGTTTTAGACCAATCACTTTATTACCCGTCTCTTTACTTTGTCTGGAAGATCTATATCTCCTTTGGAGAAAGAAGTCGCAACGACATAGAGGACTCCAAGATTGAAGCCCTGCATCCATCTTGAACAGTGTCGCGAAAAACTTTACGGAGTTGAGAGGCACTTGCGCTTTCTAGCTCTGTATTTGTTTGGTCTGCGAAGTTTTCACTAAAAATCTCCGCTATCTCTAAGTTAACCAGATCTTCGTCATTTGACATTTTAAGCGTGCGGATTGCTTGGCTTTTGGGCTTTCTCCTAGTCGTCAGTCCGTGAGGATAGTTGGGGTCAGCTTGCATTTATGCTGTTAGCTTATCCTATCACTTCGTACTATGGTACTGCATCTGTTCTTCAATTTCAATTAAGGGCGCAGACCAGATTCCATCAAGGAGAA